GCGTTGTTCCCTTTGCTTGGCTACTTATGAAAACAGAGAGACCTTCCGTCATGTCTGAAACGTGCTCAATGGAGAGAGAAAAGCCAAAGCCCAAGTAGTCCTTCTAAACATGAGATTTTACAAAAGAGCAAAAAACTCTTTTTCTTCAAAGAGTTACATGCTTCCTCAACAACAACAGAAGCAGAGGGGACATACTATGCTACTTTAATGTTCCTTTCAGTGAAAGTGCTATAATTTATGAGCAAAATGTTCTTGCCTGGTCCAAGCAGGTCTGTTAAGCCCTCTTAAAAAGTACCCTTGGGGAGCCCTAGAAAAGGGCAGTGCAATCTTAACTCTCAGATGTAGGGAGCAGGATTAGATGCAAGCCTCTTCTGTCGGGAGAAATCTATTTCAAAATATTCTCCTGGTGATCATGTCTCCTTCCCTGGGAGATAATGACTGCAACCTCAGTTTTAATGGCAGCCTCCTCCACAAGTTCTCCAGTTGCAGGTAGATCATCTGGATGTTATAGGAGCTATCCAGGTGCTGAACTCTATAGTTTCAGCACTTGAAGAGTTCTTGTGAAATAGGTCACTGTTTAAATGGAATACACAATAATGGAGCCACCACTAGTATGCCCCACACTGACTGATCTCAGAAATGTGCTGAGAGAGCATCCAGCAGCTGAGCTGCTCTCTGGTTAAAATGTAAGTAGAAGAGATGAAAAGGGGGAAGAAGTAGGAGCTACCTTACATCAAATCCAAACCATCTCCAGGCCATGCCAGGGATGAAAGCTGCTAGCACACTGCTAGACGCCCCAAATTCAAATAAAAATGTAAATGCTACAGAATCATTGAGTTGGAAGAGCCCTCAGGCACCATCCAGTCCAACATTCTACTGTGCAAGAAGACACAAAGCACTTCCAACAGATGGCCATCCAGATTCTGTTTAAAAACCTCCAAATCAGGAGACTCCAAGGCAGGCTATTCTAGTGTTGAACAACTCTAACCATCAAAAAGTTCTTCCTAGCGTTTAGATGGACTCTTTTTTTTCCCTATAGTTTGAATCTATTGTTCCATGTCCTAGTTTCTGGAGCAGCAGAAAACAAGCTTGCTCTATCATCAATATGACACCCCTTCAAATACTTAAACAAGGCTATCATGTCACCTCTTGCTAAGCATACCTGGTTTTCTAAGTCACTCCTCATAGGGTTTGGTGGTTTCTAGACCTTTCACCATTTTGGTTACCCTCCTTTGGACACGCTCCTTGTCACCGTCCCTCTTGAATTATGGTGCCCAGAATTGGACAGAGTATCCCAAGTGAGATCTGACCAAAGCAAAATAGACTAGCAGGTCTGGTAGTATTTCCCTCAATGTAGAAATGACAATCTGATGAATCTAAAGATTCATGCCTCCAGTTGACTACTGCCCCAGATTTTTTTATTAAAAAAATGAATAAAGTATAATTCTCTTTGTTCCGATTTGATGAAATATTCCAGTACAACAAGCCATCAGGAGAAGGACATTTGCAGATGAGGTTGCTTCAGCATTTGCTGAAATTGTCTCTTGTGAGTACATCAAAGCTGCCAATATTGGGGGCAGGGGAATGAAGGGCTTGGAGAAGAGACAACGTATTTGAATTATTTCAAAGGGTTAGGTATGGCAGGTTATAAGCCCCCTGCCCTTATCTGCTTGGAACTTTGCAGCTTTCTTGCCTTGGCACACTTCAACAGTATGTGAATTCATCCCAGATTTCAGCTCAGACTTCACAAGGAGCTGAACTCTGTCTACTAAATAGATTCAAAAACTAGAATAGCACCTCTAAAGTTTGGATTATAACCCAGGATAGATTCACCATCTCACTGATGTGGGAACCACCAACCATCACTGTTTGGCATGCAAACTTGGGAGTTAATGCTGTATTTGAATAGATGGAGAAATGAAAAGAGAAAACCAGCCTTCTGCATTGGAATCATATTCCCCAAGTCTGCCAGGAACTGCACTTTCTTCTCTGAGCCTCTTATTCATAAAGCCAACTCGTCTCTCACTAGTGTGAAAAGCTCTCCTTTCAAGTCCTTTCAATAGCGCCTAAGAAGGTAAGGCCAGTGCCAAGCTATTTACATAAGAAAATATTTCACACTTGGGGAAATGGGTTGTGGAAAGGCTGGAATCTCTTATCTGAAACTAGGAAAACATGAACTTTTCAATTCTTTCCAAGTTACTTACATTCTCCCTGGCCATTGGATGATTATTCTGAGTTTATGCTTGGAGATGCAGTTTCTTTGTCATCTCCCGCTTCAACTCTCTCATCTAACAAAATCAATTGGTAAAGAAAATCATGTCTGCGTTTTCATGGTTTCTAGTACACTGGAGCTAGGGATTCATGGTAGAAAGCTCAAAAAGGAAACAGCAAAACTGGGGAAATCCATTATTAACATTTGGAGTGAAGTGCTCAGGAGGCCAACTTGATTTCCATCCTCCCTTTTCATCAGTACCTCTCTGTCCATGGCTGGAACACTGGATGGCACAGTCAGTATTGTGTTTGTGCATACAGAACTACAGTACAGATGGCCATTCAGTACCTCCTTGAGCAGCTGTAGTCCCTTCAAAAGTCATTCCCTTGCCAGTGGAGACTAGAATGGGGTAGGAGAGGACTCTGTCTATGTCTCTGTAACCAAATTCTTTGGGACAGTGTGATGTAGTGTTTTGAACACTGGACTCTGGAGACCAGGGTCTGAATCCCTGCTCAGCCATGGAAACTCAATGGATGACCTTGGGCAAGGCATTCTGGGCAAATTGCCTTAATTCTACAGTGTATGTGTACCCGGAGAAGGAGGGAAAAGTGTAGATTATATTCAAGGAAGGCAAGCAAAGTAAATTTACTACTGCTGCAGAGATCCACTGCAGACATCCATCTGCAGTTACTTGAGATCTATTTGAAGGAACACAAGATCCAAACAAAGCATATATGGTTTTTTGTGGTATTTTGGGCTGTGTGACCATGTTCTAGAACAGTTTCTTACTGACGTTTCGCCAGCATCTGTGGCTGGCATCTTCAGAGACTACTGGAATGGAAGAGAGGGGGTCTATATATACTGTGAGACCCTGGGTAGGGAGGAGTGATTCCCATGTAAACTGGGTATTGTTCTGTGTTGAATAGGTATTGTTCTGTTGTTAATGGCATGGCTTCAGGGTGGGAGGATATGCAAACAAGGATATTGTCTGCTATTGTCTCCTGGGAAAGCCCCCGATCCTGGTTGGTTTCCCATTTGCATTTGCTGAGTGCTTATTTTCTTATTTGTAGGACTGGTAGCCACACCTTGTTTACTTTAAGGATTTCTTCTTTCCTGTTGAAGTTATCCAAG